CCCAAAAGTCACAACTATCCTTACTTTTTACCCACTTTTTACTTGATTTGACATAGAGTCAAAACAAAACTCTGTCTTACATAAATATGTGTGTAGGTCAAATCAGGAATTTCAATGTGGGACGGAGGGAGTATACTACATGTACTTTATTACTAGACCGGCAAATACAATATTTTAAATAGATTTATTTGTAATGTTTAAGTTGGAGTTGTATATTCCCAAGCTATATAACAGGCCGATAAGCCCCGCTAATTAAATATTGTTAACACAGATTAAATAACAGGACATTTTATCAAGCATGTATAAATATTTTCACATTGCAAATATTAGTGTGACATTATATAGTGTCATACGAGTATTTTTCAGTTTTTTTAATAATTACCCTCATTTAGGTGAAAAATATATGTAATAATAATCTTATTTCGAAAATTTTTAACATTATAAAAACAATTAAACACTATATAAGGCTTTTGGGCTACTCCTCCTATTAGGTTGACCTTTTAGGATGGAACCTCGAGTCTTAACATGGTATCAGAGCCAATTCCGGCCGTGGTTTGACGGCTTGTTTAGCACCCATGATTAAGAGCCCGTTTGGTAGCACCAAAATCGGCTGTTTTGGCTGATTCTGCTGAAATTTATGATATTCTGGCTGGAGTGGCTGTTTTGGCTGATTCTGCTGATTTAAGAAAAAAAAATTTTAAAAATATATTTTATTAATAAATTAAAGAAAAAAGTATATGTAAAAATAGCTAAAATGGCCCTCTACAGTAACTTCAGCCAATACAGCCAGAAAAGTAACTCCAACCTTACTTTTTCGGCTTATTACACAATTCAGCGCGCGAAAGTAAAAGTTACGTGTTTGGTGAAAAAGCTGGCTGATAAGCCTGATAAGCCGAAAACAGAGTTCTCCAAACGGGCTCTAAGGGTAACTTGTTAAGAGTTTGTTTGGCCCGTTTATACACCCCAATATTGTCCAGCCCGGTTCGGGGCTGAGGGGGCGTGTTAAAAGCATTTGTCCCACACCGGAAAGTTATAAAAACAATTAAACACTATATAAGACTTTGGGCTACTCCTCCTATTAGATTGATCTTTTAGGATGGAACCCCAAGTCTTAACAAACATTATCACAAATTTCTCTCGTTATTATTCTACTTTTACTTGACCTTAACCACGTCGCCAAAAATCAATGAGTTGTCGTACGGTCTTAGGTGAATCATAAGTTGGTGTGGACGTATATTTCATTATAATTATAATTAAAAATGTTTAGGTCGTCCAATATGCATTTATGTTGATCCAACGAATGTAACATTATACAATAGGACAGCTAAACTTTATTGTATATTATTGTAGAACATTATTCGAATATGACATTCTTGTTGCATTATTTATTAAACTTTGACGACCGAAAATTGTTGTTCAGGATACATAATTGTAGCCGTTAAATTGTTCAAATATGGCCATTTCTCCCTAGAGCGACTAATTAGTTACGTTCATATTGACATTGAAAATCCAGATAATTATAAGAAATAATTACATATATATAATCAAAATAAAGATGGTTTATAAAAATATGATTCATTACTAGAGTAGTAATGAAATCATAGTAATTCGAAAGAATGGCACCAATATCACTCCACGACTTGTATTCGACAAAATTATGAGCGATATTAAAAAAGACATAAAAGAGACCCGCTGACCCGGTGCCTTTTTCCGCTTCATCTCACCTCTTCCGCTTCAACTTCCCTCTTCCACACAAAAGTAGGGCTACCTTCAGCTTCATCTTCTCTCTCCCGTCCTTACTCCTCAGCCGGCCTTCAATCTGCCTCGCAACCTCCATTTCCGGCGCAATCCACCTTCACGGATGGTAGGACCTCCGCCCTCAACTTCAATTCATCAACGGCAGGACTCAGGAGCACTGCCCAGGTTCTATGTTTTCCTCGTTGGCCGCCCCTCCCATGGATGACGACTCTGATTTGAAGCCGCCAGTTCCGGATCCTCCTTCTCAATGGATGACAACTCCGATTCGAAGCCACTGGTTCCAGATCCGCCATCATTGATTCTACTTTCCTCAAATGAACACAAAAAGCTTGATGCCGCCTCCTCTCTTTCATTGCGCAGGCCTGTGGAGAGTGCTTTGGGGCTGTGGAGAGCTGGGGTGGGGCTGATGGATTGAGGCGGGGCTGGTGGGGACAGGTCACGCCAGAGTCCATGGTGGTGGCCGGTGGGAATGGGTGGGAGAGAGGTTGGGGGAGAACAGGGGACGGGGAAGCTGGTGTAGAGGGATAGGGTCAAGGAGCTGGTTGAGTTGCTGGATTTGTGGGGTAGTGATGGGGCAAGGAACGGTGGTGGACTGATAGGATGGAGGTGGGCGGTGGTGGGGATGGCGGCGTGGTTGGGATGCTTAGGTAACCGGTGGAGTCAATTGAGAGGGATGACACTGCTGAACGACGTTGGCGGTGGACGACGATAACTGCCGTGGTGGCCTTTAGCGGCAGAGGTGGTTGGCGGTGGTTTTCGGAATTGATAAATGTGGTCGTTGTCATTGCGGCGGTCACCGGCGAGGCGGGGGGCGGCAGTCATCGTGTGCGATGTCACTGTGGCGGTGTCACTACGGCGGTCACCGTCGGGGCGGGGGCGGCAGTCATCGTGTGCGATGTCACTGTGGTGGTGTCACTACGGCAGTGTCACTGTGGTCAGGCAACAGTGACACGTGTGGCGGCGGCAGTGACACGTGTTGCAGCGGCAGTGACACGTGTTGCAGCGGCAGTGACACGCGTGGCGGCGGCGGTAGTGACAAGGGCGGCAGTGTCGTACTACAGTGGCATGAGAATGGGCAGTGACATAAATATTTGATTGTCACTATATCTATTCACATTTTTGACCAAATTTAAAAGTGGTCACATTTTTGAAAATGAGCCTTTATTTTGTAATATCCAAGACAAAACCCCTAGTAATTCATGTTCAAGTTTTGAACTTTAGTTACTACAGCACTACGTTGAAGTAATGAATAGTCATATTTATGTAAATAAGTTTTATTTTAGTAATATTCTCATAAAAAATCCTAATTATAATGGATGATTAACGTATTTCACCTTTTTGACACAATTAAAAGTCGTTGTGGTTATTAATTATCCTCATGGAGTTACGCTAGATGTACAAAAACTCTTACAAAAAGCCTTACAAAAGGGGTATGTGGCAACATCACATTATTTAGCACGTCACATCACTTTTACCACACTTTTACATCAATGGTAATTAGAATAGCCGCATCCCTTGTTTTTAAGTTTTTTTGCAAGTGTATTTGTACTTCTAGCATTTTTTGTAGTTTTTAATTTGTTTTGAAGCTCATTCATCATGCGTGAACGAAGCAAGCAAAACTTTAATTAGGGAACCAATTCTCCTTCTGTTTTTTTAGGTATAAATAGAATCAAAATCCGTTTTCAGAAGTTGGTCTCCTCCAATTTATAAAGAGACTGCGTCTATGAGTAAATTAAAACACCAGAAATACTTCTGTACTTTCACTCAAACAATTCAACTTATGCTTTTATTCCTTGAAAGAAAAGAAACAGTTTTAAGAATAAGATCAAAACACTCCCTTAGGATGTTTTTACTTGGACTGTAATTTGTTGGTCTGGTCTGGTCTGGTCTGGTCTGATCTGGTTTGGTGTGGTCTGAATTGGTCTGGTCTGGTAAGGTCTGTTTTTTTTGTATTTTTATAACTATCCAAGTCTGGTCTAGTCTGGTCTGAACTGGTCTGGTCTGGACTGGTCTGGTCTGATCTGGTCTGGGGCAAATTATAGTCCAAGTAAAAACATCCTTAGTGGGTCAAAATGACATTTTTAAATGAGGCAAGAATGATAATGGACATGTTTGGAATTCATTTTGCTCCCCGGTGACCCTAGCTCAACTGATGGATAAGGGTGACGCAAGAGGTAAATCTCTATTCGATTTTTGACAACTGTAATAAGAGGTTAGTGGTTACAATGTAAGATGTATAGTGCATTTGCACGTACCTGGATCAAAACCCCACTCATTATCTACCGATATTTGGTTTAAATCAAATTTACATCCTCTCAATTAACTGTTCGCTTGGTGTTGATGTTGTTAGGAATAAGTGTCGTCTTTTTTTTTAAATCATTATGCTTCAGTTTGTTTTTTAAAAATAAAAGTAAAATTAAAATCAGTTTTTCTCAACTTCCGAAAAACCAATTGGGAGAATAATTTGGAACATTAGAAATACTTTTACATTTTCTAATCGTCTCACCACTAATCATGAATTGAAGAAATTGATTTATTTAACCCGCACGAGTAACTCAGTTGGTTGAGTGTTGGAAATTTGGATCAAAGCAACCATAGTTTGAGTCCCCGCAGAGAAGGTGTGGAGGCCACAACCTCTGAAATGGGTTGGACCTCTGACGCGCACGAGCATATGGGCCTACCGTCACTCCGCCGACGGAGTCACCATGATTTGCATTCTTCCATGTGCCCTGTCGGGTCGGGGCGTGGGGTGGGAGATTCCACCTTTTGGATCATAGAAATTGATTTATTTAAATGGAATATTCACCATCTTTAGAGCCCGTTTGGAGAACTCTGTTTTCGGCTTATCAGGCTTATCAGCCAGCTTTTTCACCAAACACGTAACTTTTACTTTCGCGCGCTGAATTGTGTAATAAGCCGAAAAAGTAAGGTTGGAGTTACTTTTCTGGCTGTATTGGCTGAAGTTACTGTAGAGGACCATTTTAGCTATTTTACATATAATTTTTTCTTTAATTTATTAATAAAATATATTTTTAAAAATTTTTTTCTTAAATCAGCAGAATCAGCCAAAACAGCCACTCCAGCCAGAATATCATAAATTTCAGCAGAATCAGCCAAAACAGCCGATTTTGGTGCTACCAAACGGGCTCTTAGTTATTTAAATTTGTTTTTTTTTTGTTATCCTGGGAAACACACTGTGCCCACATAGTGTTCAAAAGGGCTGATACGTGTGTTTATCGCGTTACTTTAAAAAAGAAAATGAAAAGAATTCGTCTGTAAACTTCTGTTTGCTTTCAGCAGATGAGATATACCCTGCAACAAGACCTTTCCTGGTCAACTTACGCGCTCAAGCCCAACGTCGGTTCTTTGACCGCATCTCTTCTGTAAACCATTGTTATCGTTAAGGGATCTTATATGCTTTGATCTGTTCATTTGAAAAAATGACTCAGCCGAGGACTTTTAGTCAAAAGGACTTCTCTTTGGGTTTTGGGAAGGGAGCTTTGGATTGAATGATTGATCGAGCTTATTGGAGCTGTTCTCTTCTGCATTTTCAGTTTGGATTTTGATTCAAAGTAGCTTTTACCAGAAACGGATTGTTTCACATTCGATTCCCTGTTTCCTAGGAGTGTGGTTGACCACTTGATTTGATTTTTGGATGAAATTTAGTAGCGGATCACTAAGAATTTGGAATTAAAAGTTTATTGAAACATCGTTAGGTTTTTTGGGCGGACATATACAGTACTTCGTTAGTTGACTATCGCCACTGAGAGTTGAGCAAGAAGGTGTGTATTGTTTGGGGGCTTTTAGGGCTTCAAAGATTTACTGAGATTGATTTTACTGATGATCGATGAAAAACACTGAGAGGGTTTTGAATGCCAAGTCAGGAGCTAATGTGTACTAATAGAGCACTTTTATTAGTTTTATCTCTGGTTCTGCTTGTCATTTCGAAGGGAACTTGCTATGACAACAAAAGGAGACCAGAAGAGGATATATTATTCAGGCTAATCAACTCCAGGGATATACTCCACGGTGGGGTATGTATTTTATACTTAATATGATGATATCTTTCTAGCTTTATATTTCTACAATCGAAGTAATGAGATGGTCCAATTTTGTTTGGATGCATCTGCTTATTAAGATGGAAGAAGCTGATCACAGAAGTGTTATTCTTTAGCAGCATTGACCTTGATCACACAATTAGCATTGCAGAGCAAGTTTTGTTTATTACATTTTAGATTACTAATAAGTTTTAAAGATCGATAAGAATCTATTTTTATAAATTCACTCACCACATACACATGCTTGTTCCTTACATAGTTGAACCTCAGTAAATAAAGTTCCATTGAACGGTCTTAGGGAGTATTTCTTTTAAAAAAAATCTATTTCTTAATTTTCGAGTATTTTATGCCCTTCACCATGAAAGAGTAGGCCATTCACAATATCTAAACCCAGCTATGAATGATTATTTAGGGGGTATCATAACTAATGCTTCCAAATAAGGTTGTGCCTTCCATGTAACTATTTCATCAGCTGGTTAGAAGTGTGCAGGTGACACTAAATAGTGCAGAAGAGAATGAAATAAAATTATTGGGGAACTGAAATATTATGTTCAACCAAATAAATCAATATTTGGTTATCCTTTGTACTTTTCAAAGTTAAACCAAAATACGAAAATAACTTTTAAGTTATTTTTCCTCTTTCTCCATTAGTGTTGGCACCTAAGAGGGTAAGAGTGTGCTCACCTTAAAGCATGTACACATGGGTCCCTTAAAATTGTTAGGTTAATATGATAAGAAATACATCACAAGGAGAAAAGTGAGGTTACCTTTTATTAACTAAACTATAATATTCATTATTTGTTCCATACAATTGTACGATGGTTTGGGAGAAAGTGATGGATCTTAGAAGCCTAGATACTCGCCTTATACTCTAAATGGGAACAAATAGTGGTTTTATGTGATACTAGTTTGAAGCTGGTTGCTTATCATTGTGATTGAACAGGGCATACTCAACTTGCTTTAGCTTATTGCTTGCTGAAGATGGTGAAAGTCACATAAGAATGCTATCGTTTCTCTAGTAGTCAAGTCATACTTTACACATTTTCTTCATCTAAATCTCAGTAAACTCTTTGAAGAATTAAGCTTATGACTTGAATAGGTGAATATGTTGCATATTTAAAACTGATAAGTGATCATTCACTAGAACTTGTTGGCTTGAAATCCCCAAAACAGGAAAAGGATCACATAAGTATGTGCACACAGAGTCACAGACCTATTTCTTATCATTCCCAGTTCAATGGCTTCTTGAAAATGAATATATTTTACCCTCGTGCATGTATGGTAAATGTACAAAGCTATGGTAATTGAACAAAGTTGTCTTCCTACAGGCTGAGCTAGTATGGCTAAACTGTGGGACAGAACTGATGCATGCAAAGGAAGCAGTTGAAAACCATGATTTTTTCGTCCTAGAGGAAAAGTATGGTGAGAGTAATGAAATCAGTTCGGGAAGTAATTGGCAATCACCCAAAAGTGAACTTGAAAGCATTCTTCATCCACTGGTGAAACAAACCCTTCTAGATTGTTTATGTAGAAATGATCTTGAATTTCTCGTCTCTGGGGAGGAAAAGGGTCCGAAAAATTGGTATGTGCAGTGTTTGGCTTTTTTATTCTCTTGGTTTGGTGATACTCCCAGACGACGTGAACTAGTTCAGCACAATGGGGAAGCACCTGCGCCATCTCCGGTAGCGGCATCACTTGGTGCAGCAGCAGTAGCAGTTTTAGTCTCTGACACCCCACCACCTGCTCAGCCTCCCGTACTGCCATTCTTCCCGGTGGTTGTTAGTAACTCAAGCTTGCAACCTGAAGTTAGTGGGCCTTCTAATTCAGATGTTGTACCTTTATCAAAAAAGGAAACTGTCAACCACAGAACAGTGGCAGTTGCTGTTTCTGTCACTGCCACATTGACATTTTTTGTAGTTTCCCTGCTGTTTATATGCTATTTCAAGTGTTGCTGGATTGGTCCCCGAAGGGGACCAAATGATGAAAGACCTCTCTTATGCTTGAGCTTAAGTGACTACCCTATCGGTAAATTCATGTTCATTTTGGATTCCTTTATTCTGTAATTGACTTGACTTCTTCTATTTTGATTATTAATATTATCTCAGGGAATTACTCTAACCCCTCTAGGTTAGGTCATATATATAGTAGTCCAACTGTCTCAAAGCCAATTTGTTATCTCGTGAGCATTGATTTGCCTCACACCTTCCTCATTCACCCTGTCTTTTACTTTTCATCCCTTTACTCCACTTGACTGTCGATTCTAATGATAATTGTCTAAAATATCCTCTCTTAAAAGTTTAAAAAAAATCTTCATCATTATAAGACATGATTGTTGCTCGCATTCCTCTACTTCTACTTTGTATGACATTTCTTTTACTAGCAGCCATAGTCTTCAATGATGAAGGAGAAGTGCTTTGACTTTTAAGTGCAGATATTTTAGACAACATTTGTTAAATTTGAAAATAATATGGAGACAAGTGAGATAAATAATGAGGGGTTGGGGAAATTGTCAGAATTAGTCAAACTCAAGGGTGACTCACGAGGTTGGACTATAATTATGATCTCATCTCCAATGGGTAATAGTAATTTTTCCTTGCTATGTTTTTCTAGTTCCATAGTTTCTGACTGTCCTGGTAAATCATTTGCTCCAGGGAATTCATTGATTGATGAGAAATCTAGTACCCGTTCGTCTAAACACCATTCTAGTGGGAGTTTTTCCACTAGTCACCGCTTCACTGGGAATTTCTACGTGGGGCCACAGTCGCCCAATATATCTAAAACAGAGGTTCCTGTAGGAGCTGTCTCGAGTGCTGATGTCGCCTCGGTCCAGGGCATAGCTGGGCTACCTCCACTGAAGCCTCCCCCTGGTAGGGTATATCCCAATGCCCCCCTACCTTATGCTAACACAGACCCTCCAGCTTCCCCTGCTCTGGCTAACACAGATGGTCTGGGTCCCACTCCTCAGGCTAAAGCACCTCCTCCACCTCCTCCTGCTCCACCTAAAGCAGCTACTTCGGCTCCCCCTCCACCTCCATCTTTACCACTAAGGCCTTCTTCTGGAGGCTCACGTCCTTCTCCTCCTGGACCGCCACCACCTCCCATTCCTGCTGGCAAGACTGGTCCACGTCCACCACCACCTCCAGCTCCTATGAGCTCAAAGCCACCTCAGCAATCACACATTCGACACAATCATTCTTCAATGGGTGCTAATGAAGAGGAAGCAGCCGATGGTCCAAAAACAAAGCTGAAGCCTTTTTTCTGGGACAAGGTCCTAGCCAACCCTGATCACTCAATGGTTTGGCATCAGATAAAATCAGGATCCTTCCAGTGAGACATTTATTAACTACTTTTTCTTGTTACACTCACATTTTGTATTCTAAACATCCCAATACAGAAATTGATGTTTGGTTTTGTTCTTTTTTTGTTTTTGTAACAGGTTTAGTGAAGAGATGATAGAGAGCTTGTTTGGTTATGCACATGCAGATAAAAACAAGGAGACCATGAAAGGCTCTCATTCGCAAGACGCTTCTAACCAGTATATACAACTTATTGATCAAAAGAAGGCACAGAACTTAGCAATTATTCTTAAAGCTTTAAATGTGACAATAGAAGAAGTTTGTGATGCTCTCAAAGAAGGTGATCTCATAGTCCTATTGAGATCATGTGCATTCAAAAAGGAAATTTTTCATCTTTTAGGGCTTGTTTGGTTTGAGAATTTGGGAGGGAAGGGAAATAGAGAAATAGAAAAGGGTGATTTCGTAGTCTCATTGAGATAATGTGCTCAAAGAAGGCAATCTCACAGTCATATTGAGATCATGTGCATTTAAATAGGAAAATTTTCATCTTCTAGGGCTTGTTTGGTTTGAGAATTTTGGAGGGAAGGGAAATAGAGAAATAGAAAAGGGTGCGTTCATAGTCTTATTGAGATAATGTGTTTGTTTTGTTTTTCATCTAGCACAGAGCCTTGCTCTCAATTAAGATTAATCATTCGCTGTTTCATTGTCAGCTACAAAGTACAGACTTAATTCTTGAAATGGGGAAACCGGGTACTATTTATGGAATTCACAGCATAAAATCATCAGCTGACTTTTTTCTTTTAAAAAAATATCAGGAAATGAGCTTCCACCAGAATTGCTTCAAACTTTGCTGAAGATGGCACCGACATCTGAAGAAGAGCTGAAGCTGAGGGCCTATAGTGGAGACCTTTCTCGACTTGGGCATGCTGAGCGATTTCTGAAAGTCTTAGTTGACATTCCATTTGCCTTCAAGAGGCTAGAATCATTAATTTTCATGTGCACTCTTCAAGAGGAGGTGTCAATGATTAAAGAATCATTTGCTACATTGGAGGTATATATTTTCTTTTATCTCACTGAAAATTAGGGGTCTATTTGGAACTGGGAAAGCTAGAAGGAAAAAATAGGGAAATAGGGTCTATTTCAGAAGTTTCATAATATTCGAATACAGTTTTTGCGATTCCTTAGAACTTTAAAGTAGCTTCCAATTTTTAAATTTTTATTATTAGTATTGATTTAAATAAGGATGGAAGAAGTATCGAAGATCTTTAAATATCAAATTGTTGGAAACTTGGAATTTCGTCAACTGAATATATAACATGGTTTTTCAAGGAACTCATCAATTTATAATATGTTTGGATTTTATAAATATTTAATTTTTTATTGAACATTTAAATAGTTAAAATAAATTACTTTTCAAATATTTTCCAGAATAGTAAGAAGGATAAAAAGTTAAAACCAATTAGCAATTTTCTCTGGAGTCTTTTTTTTTATTTTTGAAGCGTTGTCAATGTGATTTAATGAAAAAAGGCTAATAGATACTTCGGTGCAAACATAAGGCTTGTCATTGCTACATAAAAATGTAGGGACTGAGTCACCTATATGATCAGACCATAAGAAATAAACTGCAATTTTTCTCATGTTAGTTATGAGCGCCATTTTGAACTTATACACCGTTTTTGGTTTAAACTTTACCAAGGCTGCTTGCACTGAACTACGGAAGAGCCGGTTATTTCTCAAACTACTGGAGGCAGTTCTAAAAACTGGGAACCGCATGAATGTCGGAACATACCGCGGAGGTGCACAAGCATTCAAACTCGATACACTACTAAAACTATCAGACGTGAAAGGGACAGATGGAAAGACCACACTTTTACATTTTGTTGTACAGGAGATAATCCGCTCTGAAGGATCACGGTCAGCTGCCCGAGCAGCCAAGGAACCTAAGGGCACATCTAGTCCAGTGTCAGATGATCTCCTTCAGGATTCGGAAAATTATCATCGAGCCCTCGGTCTACAAGCTGTGTCAGGTCTGGGTAATGAGCTTGAGCATGTCAAGAATGCTGCAGTGCTTGACGCTAGTGAGTTGACAAGCACAGTGGCCAATCTCGGCCGTTCTTTAGTAAATGCAAAGAATTTCCTGAGTTCAGTCATGGACCAAGTGAACGAGGAAGATGGGTTTCTCCGCACACTACAGAATTTTGTGCAGAATGCTGAAGTTGATGTCACGTGGCTGTTTGAAGAAGAAAAGCGGATAATGTGTCTTGTTAAGAGCACCGGTGATTATTTCCATGGGAATGCTGGGAAAGATGAAGGGTTGCGATTATTCGTCATAGTTCGTGATTTTCTGGTAATACTTGACAGGGTATGCAGAGAAGTAGGAGCTGCACAAATGAAGCCAAAGTCGTCACCACGGAAATATAATATGGCTGTTGGTCCTTCAGAACCCCAATCTCCCTCTGATCCACGGCATAAACTTTTTCCTGCAATTATTGATAGAAGATATGATGATGAATCCAGTTCCGAAGATGAGGCTTAGTTGCATTGGGTTAACTTGCCTTGATCTCTTTTTGTCATTCTTTACTCTCAATTGTTTTTTTTTTTTGTAAGTTTGAAGTAGGGTGGGTCATGGGTGGAAGCTTGTCAAACAGGAGGCTGGATTTTATCCGTTGCACAAACTTCTGTAATATAAAGACCATCTGCAAAATTGCAGGTAGTGAAGAAACATCATTGCAATAGGTAGGAAAATCATTGTAGTTTTTAAATTAATTTCGTTTTTATTTGTTTATTTTATTTTGTAATTAATGGAAGGCAGTTCAGTCATTATTTAACTATCATGTGTGTGTTAATTTTTTTTGTTTGGAAGAAAAGGTGGCTATTTTTCACTATAAAAATGGTTGCGCGGCTGGTGTTCGGGTCTGGTTTTTGTCCAAATCAGTAAATGACCAAAACTGGTGCTTGTGGATCAATAACACAAATTCGTTATCAACTTATCATAATACTTTATTACAACATTAGTATGAGCCCCGTTCGAGTCAGGAGCTCTTGACCAGAATTGCCGTGAAGAATTCAGTGTTTGGGGTCATGCAGTGGTTCTCGGTGGAATTTTTTTGATGAAATTTTTTGAGCACCTTCTTCATCAAGTCTTGTTTATGTGCTTTTGTACATAATGCACAGTATGTTTCTATAATTTAGTTAACTGCCTTTTCGATTGAATTTTAACTAAAATTTGATATACATAAACTAGACTTGGTGAAGAACATGTTCAAAAAAATCATCAAAAAATATTATCAAGAATCAGACCAAACTTATTAAACGCACATGAGAACTCACAAAAAGATTCCTCACTTCCTCATTGTCTATCGATACGCACATGAGAACTCACAAAAAGATTCCTCACTTCCTCATTGTCTATCGATCTATCAAGTTCTGAACTCTGTAGCTAGTAAAACTTTACATATAGACTTCATAATACAATATACCGTACTTCCTAGTCCCTATCAGGAGCTCCTGACCGAAAGACATTCAAATGAATTCTTGAAGATAACTGTGCAATTAAAAGCGCAGTTATCTTCAATAATTCATTTGAATGACTTTCCGATTGAATTGTTAGCTGAAATTTGGTATGAGTGAACTAGACTTAATGAATAAGATGCTCAAAAAATTCCACCGGGAACCGCCTCAAATGGCACGTCCAGACAGAATCTTCTATATAAATACTTATTTGACCCCTTTTATACAACTTCAAGGACCAAACTGACCTTTTACTCAAGGGATATTTTGTATTTGCACCCTGTTTTATGTGAGGAATTAGAGTATGCACCCTAAATTTAAAACCTTTAGTATTTGCACCCTAAGTGAAACGGATCTGTTAGTTAGATTTCTAACATTTCAAAAATGTCAACAATACCCTTTTTTTAAGTCAACACCTGATTCTTCCCTAGGATACATATGCACATAAAAGCTTTTGTCAACAGCGTCAATTATTTCCCATGGCTCTAAGAAGAGCTGATTTTCTTCAGCGACAGATACTGGTAGATGAAAAGGGAAAACTAAGATATGTTTTTTTCATATAACAAATATTTTCATATAAATATATAGAAATGTTTTTTTAAACAGTGAACATACTTACAAGTAGGGATTCTATAAACATCTATACTGACTGCCATTGCTTCCATCTAGCCCAAATAGCAATCTGACCAAACAGATCAGGAAGAGAACTTAATTTTTCAGGATACTTTGCAACTATCCTGAAATTTTTAGAGTTCCTTCTCAATAATACCCAATTACAAAAAGTCTCAATGGTTCAAAATTCACTCCTTAAAGCAGGACTACATAACTTCAAACCCAAACTACAACAAATCCTAGTTACTTCTAAATCAATAATAATACCCTGTTGAAAGCAGCCCCATTAAAGAAAATGGCAGGTATTATGAACATTTGCTGCATTGGCAGACTCATTCAATGGAGGCAATTCAATGAATATATCACCATATTCATCACTATTGATTCCTTCATCCCTGCTACTTTCATGGAATGGTACCCTAACTGAAAATTACACATTGAAATAATTATATTAATAACACTCTCACAACTGATATTTACACATGAGCTGTGTAAAGTTGCTCTTATTAATCATCTGGATTTCTCAAACTTAGGCAATGTAAGCAACAATTTCAGATCCATGCTACAATTAGCATTCCACTAAAAGGGTAATGTAAATAACTGAAAAGCTATAAAAACCTATCCTTGAACACCATAACATTTAAAATTTATAAAATCCATTCATTAGCATCAACGATTGCTTACTTGAATCAACCAACTGCAAATCATCAACACAAACAAATCTTTCATTTCTTTCATTATTTTCAATTGTTGGAGGCAAAAGAATAAGTAAAATATAGTTTCCAAACTAATTCCAATCATGATCCCACTATGGCCTTAGTTTTTTTTTGGTAATGATGTTTATGTTTGGTTCCAGTAGGTCCCAAACATCCAAACTATCCCATATTATGTTTATGCATATAAAAAGTGGAGTCCCAGAAGTTTTACCATCTTTATTTCGAAAAAAGAGGCTAGCCCCAAAACTTTGTGAACACTGAGCAACGTAGAACACATTTTGACAAACAGATTATATTCATATCTTTAAGTGCAGAGCATCAATTGAAACAACAACAAAATCGACAATCTATTTCACTCCGTATTTATCGGGTTATTTCCGTGCAGAGCATAAACAATGTGAAATTAAAAACGGTTTAGAACAGAAATTTAGCAGACTACAGTCATATGTGTAAGAAAGTAATCAGTACAAAACATCAAACAAAAATTTGAATAATCATGTTTCTGTTAATACGTCCATCCAGAATTATTCAGAGCTTTGAAAGGAAGCTAATTGTATCGAAGAAGAGCATAAACCTAGCATATTGGAATTTGGAGCAGTAAGGCAGTGGAAGGCTAACTTGTTTCACTTTCCAGAGACCGGCGAGGCATTAGCTTCAAGGGCCACTCAAAATTCCAAAAGCCTGGTATTTCACAAGTATAAAAAAACTTACTTGGAGCCTGTAAAGAGTTCATCTTTCTCTTCACAGGAAGCTTCGACGTCGTCCTCTGTAGCCCTTCATCATCCGTTCGTCTAGGTGCTCCTGAATCCACCAATAAGTTATTGCAACCTTCATTCATCCCCAACCCTAACTCAGTCTACGCAGTTGAGACGATTTAGAATGTCGAAGTCTGAGAAATAAGAATGCGAATGACTGTCTTTACTTAGGTAAGGGTATTACAGTCATTTCCTACCAAAGTTAACCTCTTAACAGATTATTAACGGAGAGAGGGTGCAAATACTAAAGGTTTTAAATTTAGGGTGCATACTCTAATTCCTCACATAAAACAGGGTGCAAATACAAAATATCCCTTTACTCAATTATTTTCTAATATTAGGGTACAATGCAAATATGCAATCATCTTTTCATTGAAAAGAATAATGAGTATAATTTTGAGAGGCTAAAGTGTAAGAACTTCATCAAAAATGGAAAATATGTTTTATACTCCGTAGTAACTTAGACAGTATAAATTATATACGAAGTATGTGTGTGTATTGTAATTGTGTTTTTCCAAATATTAATAATCATAAATTATCCCACTTACATAAAACAATCAGTATAAAATAAGTGTGATTGTTAAATGCATAAAAATGTAATTAAATTTCCAACTTCTTATATAACGCGATAAAATCGGAACTACGAACTATACTTTAATATTTTTTTAATTGTATGTTTTTATGATAGTGGGTCGAATGTGTTAGAAGGGAATTAATGGGTGGAGGTATCTAGGATGATAATCTGTATGTTTAAGTGGACTAAATGCGAATTCAACGTCTCGATTGTCAACATAAAAAAATTGTACTCCGTATGACTTAAATATTTTGAATGTGCAGCATCTAAAATCTCTAAAGGTGAAAATCATAACGTTCATCCTTCCCTATCCTTCGATGTGATTTTGACAATTTGAAAAGCGGATTTTCAAAAGAAAAACATGATATTTGTAATTTGTCATATATTGAAATTTTCGTGTTTTTGGAATGGCGATAGAAAATTCCCGCCAATCCATTGTTTTCTACGGACACTCTAATGGAATACTTAGATATTTATGACTAATATATACCAACTAGATTCTGTTTAGAAAAATATACGGAGTAACATTTTAAATATCGTGAGTAATATCCTTTTTAAAACCTCATGAAATAAATG